ACAGCAGACAGAAACTTCAAGGCGCACGGAGGTCCCCAAAGTTAAGCAGCATTGAGCAGGGTTAATAGTTGGATGGGTGACCACTGGTGTTGTAGCTATAAAGTTAGATCTAGATATTTTTTTTGCATTTTGATCAGTTATACAGAATTGCGTAGGACCATATTAAGTACTCTATCCATAAAATTAACCCAATAATTGATTAGATGTAATAAATCTATAATTAAATATTGTTATATATAATTATATATAGTTATATATAATCATACATGATTATATATGGCGGCTCTAATAATCATATATAATTATATATGACTATATATAGAGCAATATACAGCTAAGCAAGATTATATATAATTATATATAGTTATATATAATCATACATGATTATATATGGAATTGTATATGAGGTCATATATAATCATATATAATTATATATGACTATATATGGAGCAATATACAGCTATGCAAGATTGTACATAGTCCCATATATAATTATATATGCTTATATATAATTAACATACATAAAAATTTTTTCTTTGAAAAAAAAATTTTTTTGGTAATCACAAAAAGTGTAAAATGATGTTTATAATTACGTTTAAATAGTTCTGAAATACAAAATTTGTCACATTTCCTATGAGATGTTTTGTCTGCTCTGCTACTACCTAATAGTAAAATCATTATTTATTTTATTATTTAAATAAGTGTTATATTATAATGAAATTCGGTAGGATAAATAAATTATGAATTATGATTATCCAAATATATTATAAAATCAATTTTTATATCATATTTATGACCCAAGACGTAAACTTAAGTTTATACGCTAACAGTAGAGCAACAGTTGTATACTTATAACTGTTGACGTAAAGTTAACGTTAACTTTCTGCAACTTCGCGTTAACTTTGAGCGAACCTTTCGGAAAATTCCAGCAGTAGATTTACGCTAACTTGATGTGTAAGTTAAAGTCAAGTTCTGGGAAACTGTTGCAAATGCCGAGGTTGACGCGAAGTTAACGTAAATTTGACATAAACCATTGAACATCAACTTAGTTGATAGTCAACCTGTGCTAACTGGATCACGAGAAAAAAATTTTGAACCAAGATAATCATTTTTTTGAAAAATTTGATGATCTTGAGTCAAACTAAAAAATTCTTGAGCGAAGAATAAATCTTTCTTAATTTAAATGAATTTTACTTACCTCAGCAATTTTTTCACTTTATTCAAGACCATCTATTTCTTCAAAATAATTTTTTTCGTTCAAAAAATTTTTTCTCTTGAGTCAAGCTAATTGTATTGACTGTAAAAAATGCTGAAAATCTGTCGATAAGTAAGTTCACTCTGAAATTAAGTAAGGCCCTGAAGTAAGGTACCATCTAGCGGTTGAAAGGGAAAGTTTCTTAAAAAGCATGTGCAAAGTATATATTACCAATATACTAACGCAAATCACATAGGAACTATACTCAGTTGTCAGTTATAGTCATTTTATTTTTGCACTTTCATTATAAACACGTGTTTCATATTGTAAACAAGGTAATGCGAATGAAAATTGCATTCTTTTGAACAGTGGGAAATATAAAATATAATTCAATTATATCATTTGTCAAAGAAGTAAAGTGTTATTTTATATTAGTGAAACTTAAATGAAAGGCCAAAAATTTGTCATACATTTTTCAGTATTGTATGTTTAAACCTCATATGTTATATGTATACATAATATAAATTTGTATGCACAAATTTTTGTGAAATGTAACTTCATAATTTGAATTGATGTAATTTACTTTGTGAAATTCCGTTTTACATAGAATAATCTAATCTAATGTAAACTCTATAGAATTCTTATTATATTAGTTGCGTGTTAAGAGTAATAAGTATAATTTAAACATGAAGCGAGGTCCATATAAATCCTACTTGAATCCGGGTGGTAGTGGTATTATGCCCCGATCAACATTTTATGGAAAATTGAAGAAGTATCGAACTGATGTAAGTATAAATTAATTTTATAGCAATTATCATTATGATATTAAAATTAATAAATATCTAAAAATTTTGATTTTTTTAATTAAATAGACTTTAAATAGGAAAATTGAAAAACTAGAAATGGATTTTTTAAAAACAATTTCTTAGTGATATATCATTCGTTTGTATTACTCATGCGGGAAAAGTAGTATCTTGGCGCTCACTGTTGGGGTTGAAAAAGAGCTGTTTGCCCATTTTAAAATCATGCGTGAGTTTTTTCATAAATGAAACCGTTATTTGAGTGCGACAAGTTTACTTGTCGCACGCAAATTATTCTTGGCGCATTCAAACTATCCTTGTCGCACGCAATTGACTGTGAAAACTGCTAAAATTAAAATAAATAACAAAAAAAACACAATCTAACTGTCAATATTAAAGAAGTGAGGTTGACATTACAAAGTTCATACTTTTAACGAAAGTAAAAATAATTAATTAATATTGAGCTAATTGTGACAAAAATTAATTTAGCAGAAATTTGATCATTTTAATAATTTTTGTAAAAAATAAATTATGCCAAAAAAAATTTTTTTTCTAAAATTGACATGTAGGAATTTTATAAAATAAAAAATGCAATTTTTTATGATTAATTTTTTGGAACAAATTTATTTGTTAAAGAAAATTAAAAAATTGTAGTGACAGCTAAACTTAATGTCATTTAATTTTATGTGTTGATTGTTTCAATGTGTAATAGTATATTACATACCTAGGCCAGTAAAATAAGAAAAGTCTCAGACTACATGTAATTGTTGGCCGAGGCGAAGCCGAGGTTGACAAACATGTGGTCTGAGGCTTTACTTTTTACTGGCCAAGGTGTGTATACTATTTTTCTGCTCGACGTAGCCGGAATGTGGCAACTTTATTTAGCGCAGCGGCCAGAAAGTTGCCACTTTCCGGCCGGAGGGCAGAAAATTTATTTTTTGTTAGTTAATATTAGTTACTTTGCGTTTATCATGTGATATATATTTGTTTCTTTTTTTTTAACTTTTTATTTGTTTTTATGGACTGGGGGGATGACCCCCCCCCCCAAACCCCCCCGCCGGGGCTTTGCCCCTGGACCCCAATTTTGTACCCACATATATCACCGCATTTGTAATACAAAATAGTATGTGCAACTCGTACGACAATATACTATTAAATAAATTATGAAATTGTCAATCATGTATTAATTTTAATATCATATACATTTTCAATCATTAAAATAAGTATTTAATGAAATGTTAATAAAAAAAAGTATTTCGAACAACAAAAACAGCGCCATAGAGTCACACTCGAGATGGAAGGTAAATTTCAATTTCGTCGTAAATATAAAATAAATTGTTTATAATTATTTAATTATAAAGTTTAAACTTATATATATTCATAATTATAAACATTGATATTGGGCTCGTTCAAGTTTACTAAGCTCTTGGCAGATCTTAGCAGTTCTTGTACCGAAAATTAAAAGTGACTATAATCTTTCTAAATAATATCAATAAGAAAACAATACAAGGTATACTAATCTAAGCTCAATCTAGCTAAGAACTTACATTAGTTATATAGATCTAAAAAAAATTTGCAGGTCACGTAGATCAATGTACATGTAATTTAAACGAATATGACAATTTTGATCCCTCTATATTTTCGCGCTTTTAATTATATCAAACTTGTAATTTTTTTATTTAAATAGATGTACGTACATCACAAATTTTCTTTTTCGGGTTGTCTTATTTAAACCTAATAAAACATATTTTTTGTGTGTTATAATGTAGATTGCGAATACAAATGATCAAATTTCAAATCAAAACGTTTATGATGATGATGATACAAATGCAAATGTTCCATCGTGTCACAAGGAAATTTTAGTTGACGACTCATTCTCAATTGATTCTGCGGCTGAAACTGATGTTTCTTCTAACAATCAACAAACTTTAACTACCACCCATTCATTATATAATTCGTGGCTTTTTGAGGACTTTAATGAACAATCCTTTCATGAAGAAATCTGGTTTGACGTAAGTTACTTACATATAGTTAAAAAATTTTTTTTTTCAATATATTTATTACATTTTTTTTATAGGCCGAAAATTCATCACTGATAGATGACCATAATATGGATTATAATAACGAAGCTAGTGAGGTATAGTTAGTCATTTATACATCAAAATTAACCAAAAAGTTATTGAATGTGGGGCATTTCATTATGACACATAATTGTCTACACAAATGGTCTACGTTTTTTTAGGACAATAAAACAAAAAACTAAAGCTATTAAATTGAACAATAATGGTTTTTCGAAAAAATTTGACAGATCTAAATAGTTGACAATTTTTTCAAAATTGTTTTCTAAAAGGAAATTAAAAAACAAATACATTGAAAAAACAAAGTGTCGACATATGTAAATTTTCGTAAAAAAATATAATTCTTTTAAAATAAACAAGTATTTTTGTTTTAATCGACAAAAAACAAAAATTGAAAATTGCCTGAAAAAAATTTTTGTTAGCGTAGAAATAGATAAAAAATTTTTAGGCAAATCATAAAGTTTCGCGTAAAAATGCGTTAATTTGTCATGGAATGTCCCATATACTAATTTGTTCATAATTTACAAAATAACCATGATAGTGTGTTATTTTTACAGGAAGTAAATGAGGTTAAAGATGAAAATTTCAGTTACCACAAACCACTTTGTAATTGTTCGACGATCACACAAGGAGAAGCTTTAATGATGACACTAGCATTAGGAGCTGAAGAATCCCTCCCATGGAAAACTATTATTGCGATCTTGTCAATGATCAATACATTATTCCAAAATGACGTTGTTCCTGCTTCAAAATATAAATTATTCGAAATTTTAAAACTAAACGAAGATATTCTTGTATATCATTTATACTGTAATGATTGTCATCATTATTTTGGCGCTCAAAAGAAATTTAGTAAAGATAAATTTCAATGCCCAATTTGTGGTGATGATGATGATGATGATGATGATGATGATGAACAATCGCCGGATATTTGTTATTTTTTAACATTTGATATTTCTCTACAACTAAAATCAATGTTAGAAGATGAAGAAGTTCAAAAAGTTTTAATGAAGAATATTCTAAGAAAGAATTGCAATAACAACAGCAATGACCTCCGAAGTATGAGAGATGGTGAAATATATAAGCAATTATCCATGGAAAATAATCCTTTTTCAACAGAATATAATTTTTCATACACTTTCAACACCGGTGGTTGTAAACCATCGACATCACGCAAGCATTCTGTTTGGCCTATATATATTTATATCAATGATCTATCTCCAAAACTTAATTCCAAGCACATGATAATGGCAGGCTTGTGGGTTAATAAAAAAGAACCTGATATGTTACTTTTTTTGCAACCATTCGTCAATGAAGCAAATAAATTATCAGAGAAAGGTATAGAATGGAAATTACAACAACAAACCATAACCAGCAAGTTCATCCCTATCTGCGCCTCAGTTGATTCAGTAGCAAGATGTATGATTTTAAATATGAAAGAATATGATGGAACTTACGGTTGCACATTCTGCGAACATCCGACGGAATGTGTTGATAATTTCCAAAAATTTTCCATGACAATGATTGTTCCAAAAGAGCGTACAGACAAATCAATTAAAAACCAAATGGTACAAACCGCTGAGATTCAAGAAGGTAATGATGTCATGGGTGTGTTGGGGCCATCACCATTGATGAATTTAGACTATTTTAACATTGCTGATGGGATGTCGCCGGATTATATCGACGCTGTTTTATTAGGTGTAATAAAAGAACATACTGAAATTTTGCTATCTTCACTCGGTGAAGATTATTATGTAGGTAATCCGAACCAACTAGAAGTATTAAATACAAGACTCTCAAGCTTTAAGCATCCTACATGTATAACTCGATCTCCACCAACATTAACTGATAGAAAAATGTGGAAAGCAACGGAATGGCGATCATGGCTTCTATTTTATTCTCTTATATGCTTCAAGGGAATTCTTCCTCAAAAATATTTTGATCACTTAGCTATATTGGTGGAAGCTATACATATTTTATTATCTGATAAAATTAATTATGATGAATTGGACATGGTTGACTCTATGATAATAAGATATGCAGTAACATATCAAGAGTATTTTGGGAAGCATGCCATGACATATAATATTCACTTATTATTACATATGGTTAAAAGTGTCTTAAAGTTAGGGCCTTTGAGCTATCATAATACATTCATTTTCGAAAATGAAAATCAGTTTCTCATGAAATTGCCAAATAATACCAAGAATATCACTATTCAGATCGCCAGGCGTTATTTGTTTCAAAAAGCTTTATCACCATTAAAAAGTAAAATTAATATAAGTGGACCCTTTTTACAATTTTGTGAAAGGAATTTGACTGGTTGTTTAAAAAATATTTTCGAAATAGACGGCTGTATACTAATCGACAAAGGAAAAGAATACTATTTGAATGATAATGAGCAGAAACTTGTGAATAGATTAGATAAATGTAAGTCTTTCAATAGAATTATCTACAACAGAAAAAGGTATACATCAAAAAGTTATTGCCCTTGGGAAAAAATTGATGATTCTGTAATATTATTAAAAAATGACAAAATTGGTATAATTAACAATATTTGTTACTTCAATTCTCACGAAAATGAGAAAAAAATATACATATTTTACGAAGAAGTCATAAGATTGAGGAAATATTTTTATTCATCGAAAAATGTAACTGTACAGAGCATAGAAGAATGCATTATTACCAAAAATTTACAATTTTGTGAAGTGAAGATGATATTACGACCGTGTATGTTAACGGCAGTACAAAGTAAACATTATGTCATTTTCGTACCACCAGGATGTTATGGTGATTAAAAAAAAATATTCCATCTACCCTGATTAGAACGAATTAAAAAGCACTGAAAATAACAGAATTTGAATTCTTTTCAATACTTTCGAATATTTTCAATCCTTTTAAATTTCTTCTCTTACGGACAGTTAACATTTGTTATTCGTTTTGTATTTTTTTTTCGAACAAGGATGTATTTAATCGAATCAATTTATTGAATATGTCTGATTTCACATCATACATAGAAAGTATTATTCAACATGACAGAAAATAATTATTGGGAAAGTTTGTATCTTTATATCAATATTAACAAAATTATCATAATAATAATTGATATTAACATCCATAGTATTACAATAGTATCAATATTAACAGGAAATTGGATAAAATTGAAAAATGCATATTGTTGATTCTGTGACGTTTCAGCCATTTTATTTGGCTTTCTTCAGGCGTCTCAATTCATAAGCGTATATTTTTAATAAAATGGCTGAAACGTCGCGGAATCAATAATCTACGTTTTTCAATTTTGTCCAATTTCCTGTTAATATCATTATATTATAATAATTTTCTTTGGTAATTCTAAAAACCATAATTTTTGATAAAAATTTTGGAATTTTTAAAGGAAAATATTAAAAGTATTGTATTTCAAAAACGAAAATATGAAATTCTATAAAAAATGGTCTGACTATTAATTTGCTTCGGTCAAATTGATGATTTTGTAGTAACAATACTTGAATATTGGTCTTTTAGTTGTTTTTAAATATTTTCTGAACACTTCTCAAAAATTTAACTTCAAACTAGACTCGTAATCGAAACTTACATCATTGCACGAATTAAATTTATCGGAAAATGTAGAGGAACATTTTTTACAGGAAACTTAATTAACTTCAACTGTAAAATATTTTTTTTCATTGTCTAAATATTGATTTGTTAACGAGTTGTCAAAATCGAAGGTCTGGAGTTAAATCTTCAAAATTCCATAAATTTTGAAGATATGATATGGAAACGACCAGACTAACGTAAATTTGCCTAAATCAGACTTAAAGCATTAAATGTAACTATTTACAGAATTAGGTTGACTTGAAATTATGTTGTTTTAAAATCTTTTAGTACCATATGGAAAGAAAATTTCTTTACAAATTACATTTTAATAAAACTTGCTGAAGATTACGGTCAAATTTGTTAAAAAAAATTTATAAATTATTTCATTTACTGACAGATGATTAGATCGCGTGCCATTCGTCCCACCATTATCGTGAATTTAGCAGTAATTTTTTAAGAAAATTTCTTTTAGTGTGCAATTTAAAAATTTTAAGCATAAATTCGTTTCTGAAATTAAACATATAAATTACAATTATCTATTAACATTAATGTTAATGTGAATTGATTAAAATTATATTATATTGATATAAGTTCAAGCTTTCACAATATTTTTTGTAATTATCAACAGTATTCTAAGTAAATTTACTAAACACCAAAATTATCAATTCTGCTCGATTGTTTTTAAAAATAAATTTATGGATTTATAATTATGTTGTGTAAGTTTGAATAATGGTTTTTTATATTTGAAGCTTAATTATGTCTTATAAAAAGCTAATCATCATAATCCTTACTCTCTAGGTTATTAAGTACTTGAAATGAATTTTTTGTTGAAATAAAAAGTGTTTAGGTATAACATAGTTTATCATAAGTAAAAAAATAGTATTAAACAATTTTGCTAAGTTTTGAAGTAATGAAGATAATTATTGTATGGAACTCTGGAGAATAAATTTATATGAACTTTGTTCCTTATAATATGAAAGTTACTTTATTCTTATTAATATAAAATTATTTTCATCATATCTGCACCGAAAGTTTAGAATTTCTGCTCCGTTTTGCAGGAAAAAAGTGCGACCTTTACCTTATGAAATATATGAAATAACATATACAATCAAATGAACAGCTTGAAATTTGCACTTACCTTCTTATAAAAAAAAGCACAAAGTTTAAACTTTTGTTTACAAATATGATGAAAAATATTATACGCGTCAGCGAGAAAAGTAGGATATCACAATTCATATGTTTGTCATCCTCGCCTTCGGCTCTAGAGATAATTTTACACGCGGGTTGGAATGTCCTATATTCTTCTTCCATGATATATAATTTTTTTATTTTATTTCGATTATTTTCAAACTCTGATTATTTCACTTCTCCTAACTTTTTGAATTGCTTATTTTACAAATAACTTTATTTAGACATTTTATTCTTGATGGATATTTTTTTCTGTAATATTTTGCAACAAGCATCCATTATTTTAACACTATTTACATTTTTCACATTTGAATGATGGTGTTATTTATGGTTAGTTAATTTTATGAACTGCAACATTCAAGGTTTTTTGAATTTAGAGTTTAAAAACTGCCAAATTATATGCAACAGACATATATGTATTTTATATATCTCTTTTTTTGTGAGTTAATAAAATCATCTACCAATTTTACATTTGTATAAATAAAATAACGCATTTATTATTAAACTCCTAATCGTAACGTTAGCCGTTTCTTCACTAACAAATAAAACTACAAATTATTATATTAGATCTTTCAGGATAGATAAAGACAAAACGGTTCATGTTGAAATTATAGGCACGAAAGTATTTAATACCCTATAATTTACCATGAATTCTAATTTAATATCATTTTTCATATAACCTGTATTGAAAATGCAAGTTTTAATGCCTGTTGAGCCAACCGAAACCTGGAAGAAGAATATAGGACATTCCAACCCGCGTGTAAAATTATCTCTAGAGCCGAAGGCGAGGATGATAATTTCAGACCAATGCGACTGTTGCCGGGCAGGAATCAATCATTTTCTACCCGGCGGGCAGAAAATGACGATTTTCTGCCCGCGAGATGAAGTTGCAGCTTTATTTTCAATCCTATCAATCGTTTTTTTATTTCATACCTTCATAATTTTCATTCTAACCGTTAGCTGTAATGACATATTATAATTCTACTAAGCATAAATACGAATGACAAAAGAAAACTATTCAATTTACGAATAATTTTTAATAAAAAATTGACCATTACTTTTTTGAATTCATTTCGCTATTCGTCTGAAAATATCTAGTTCTCGTTGGCTCCAGACATTGAAACTAGCATTTTTAATGCAACTTATATGAAAAATATAATGTGTGACGGGGGATGAAACACGATTTCAGACCGAGTGATGCCAGCCTTCGCTTTGCTCGGGCAGGCAACTTCACTCTGGTCTGAAATCGTTTTGTTTCATTCCTATAGTCACACAATATACTATTAATGCATAGAAACATTTATAAAATCAAATATATAAATATATAAATCAAGTAGAATACCAAATTAACATTAAAAACTAATGACTTAATACATACTTGTTACATTTTATCTTATCATTGTCTTAGCTCTAATGTGACTAGAATCTAATTAAAAAGTGATGATAACGCTTTTGTTAGTTCTAATTTTTTGATTTTCGAGTAAAATTCAAGCGTGTAACTTCAATACTAGTATACTAGTGTCAGCAGTTGACCAAGTTAGTTGAATTTAGTTATTTTTGATGACTCACGATGAAGCTACGGTTACTCTTTGTTTTTTTTCTTACGTCTATAATCGGTAATTATTTTAATTACGCTGTAATTACTTTACAAACGAACTTGAGTAAAATATTGAACAATTGTTGCAGCTCCTTCTATTCAATATACAACGCATAAAGTTCCGAAAACAGATATTAATCAAGTACCCTGGCTTGTCAGTTTAAGGATTCATGGCATTCATTACTGCAGTGGGGTAATTATTAATGATAACACGGTTGCCACTGTTGGACAGTGTATAATCGACAATAACGAGTTCGGCGTTATCATGAAAAGAATAGTTACAGTTAAAGTTGGAAGTTCAAATCTTCGTGATAATGGTAAAATCTACACTATAGATAAATGTAGTTTTGAACCACACTATTATAAAAAAGATATACCGATTTCGGATTTATCAATGATTCGAATAAATGGTCAATTTAACTTGATCGGACCTGGTGCTCCAAAATCGATACCACTTCATTATCCAATACCTCTGCCGGAAGACAATGTAGGTAATGTAACTAGTTGGGGGTATAATCTCTCAAATCGCGATGGACCTGCCAAGTTGAAAATTAAGAAATGGTCAATAATGAGCCGAGATTTGTGCAACCCATATTTCGATAATAATCTTGTTTGGGATCACTTTTGTGCGAGGAGTGATGACAAAGAAAAAAAAAGCTGCAGTGTTGGTGATCTTGGCGAGCCCTTGGTTGTAAATGGAAGACTAGTAGGACTGAAATCATACCATAAGGATTGTCAATTATTTCCCGATTCACCGTCCATTTTTATAAAAGTTAAATCTATGGATTTTAAGGATTAAACTTTCGAAGTTTCTTATGATCATACAATAAAATTATATTCAGCTTTCATCAAGACTTTGGCATCCTAATTGCTTGTATGAATAACCTAACCATAGAAGTAAATAAATATTTCACGAATTATAGTATCGAGAATACATATCTTACTAATTAACGCGTACATTTATTGAGAAATTAGCTTCATATAAACGAAATAATCTTGAACCAAGGAAATTATCTTGAAGAATTGGTAAAAACTTTAAACGCGTTATTCTCGTTACTACTTTGTGTGTGTGTGTGTGTGTGTGTGTGTGTGTGTGTGTGTGTGTGTGTGTGTGTGTGTGTGTGTGTGTGTGTGTGTGTGTGTGTGTGTGTGTGTGTGTGTGTGTGGGAGTGGGTGGGTGGGTGAATGTATATAAACCTCTGATAACTTTTTAACGGCTTGACCTATTTGATCTAGGTTTGCTCCATTCGAAAGGCCTTGACCAAACTTATATTTCTAGTACAATTTGGCCCGATTCGGAAGGTAGATTTTAAGAAATCTCAAAAAAACTACGAAAAAAAATTAATGAACTCTTAACATCAAAAAACAACGTCGATTGCCGCCGAACTGTTCAAAATCGGTTGATTTGTTCGTGAGTTA